AACAGGTTTAAACTTGGAAGATGTTTGGGTAATGGATACTGGATGCAGCTATCATATGACTTATAAGCGTGAGTGGTTCGAGGACTTCATGGAAGATGCAAGAGGCTCAGTCAGAATGGGTAACAAGACAACGTCAAAGGTCAGGGGTATTGGGAATGTCAGAATCAGAAACGAAGATGGAACAACGGTTCTGTTAACACACATGAGATACATTCCTGATATACAGAAACTTGCTTTTTATTGGGACCATGGAGGAGCAAGGATGTAGTTTTGAGTCAAAAGATGGGTTCTTGCGAATCAAAGATGGAGTCAGAACACTCTTGACAGGGCTCCATCTGTTCCGCAAAGATGGGCTCCATCTGTTCCGCAATCTTTAGGAAAATGTCAGTATTTCATCTCCTTTATAGATGACCTTACTAGAAAGACATGGGTGTATTTCCTAAAGCATAAGGATGAAGCATATGGAACCTTTGTTGAGTGGAGCACAATGATCAAGAATCAAACCGAAAGAAGGATCAAAGTTCTGCGAACTGACAATGGGCTTGATTTCTGCAATCAGCTATTCAACGAGTACTGCTGAAGCAAGGGGATAGTAAGGCACAAAACGTGTGCTTACAAACCTCAGCAAAACGGCATTGCAGAGAGGATGAATAGGACTATAATGGAGAAGATGAGAAGTATGTTAAGTGATTCTGGCTTACTGAAGAAGTTTTGGGCTGAAGCGACACACACTGCAGTTACTCTTATCAACAAAACCCCATCTTCTGCAATCAACTTCGAGATACCAGATAAGAAATGGTCTGGAAAAGCTCCAGTTTACAGTTATTTGAGAAGATTCGGGTGTGTCGCCTTTGTACACTCGGACGATGGAAAGTTGACGCCAAGAGCAAAGAAAGGAGTTCTTCTTGGGTATCCTATAAGAGTGAAAGGCTACAAAGTATGGTTGTTGGAAGAGAGGAAGTGTGCTATCAACATAAACGTGATTTTTCAGGAGAATGCAGTCTATAAAGATGTGATTCTGAGAGGAAAAGGACCTGAAAATGATGAAAAGGAAGCAACTGAATCAGTAATTGATATCGATCTTGGAGAAACAGGTGATATGAGCTCTGGTGGAGACGTGTTGGAAGAAGACAGTCATCCTGAAGAACAGTCTGAAGGACAGAGCTCACCTCAGCAAGAGAATCAAACTGATGAAGAAGTTGTACCAGATACTCCAGAAAGTTATCACTTGGTGCGTGACAGAGCAAGAAGAGAAGTCATAGCAAAGAAAAGGTTTGCTATTGAAGGATACTTCAGTGAAGATAATGATAGCGAAGATGAAGAGTACTTTGATGCAGAAGCTCTCGTCACTATAATGGTAGGTGATAAACTGGAACCTGAATGCTACGAAGAAGCTCGCAGAGATCAAGACTGGATTCTGTGGGAAGGTGGCATGAATGAAGAAATGGATTCTCACAAGAAGAATCACACCTGGACAGTGGTTACTAGACCAGAAGGTCAGAGAGTGATCGGGTGCAAATGGGTCTACAAGCGTAAGCCTGGGATTCCTGGAGTAGAAGCACCAAGGTTCAAAGCTAGGCTTGTAGCTAAGGGATATGCTCAAAGGGAGGGAGTGGACTACACTGATATATTTGCACCAGTAGTAAAACATGTCTCCATAAGGATTCTGTTGGCTATTGTTGTAGAAGAGGATCTGGAGCTTGAACAGCTCGATGTTAAAACTGCATTTCTTCATGGGGAACTAGATGAGAAGATCTATATGGAGGCTCCAGAGGGTTTTGCAGATCAGTTCAAGTCAGATCAAGTTTGTCTACTGAATAAATCTCTATATGGTTTGAAGCAAGCACCAAGAAAGTGGAACCAGAAGTTTGACAGTTTCATGACAGAGATTGGATTTGAGAAAAGTCTGAGGGATAGCTGTGCTTACATGAAAACTCTCAACGATGGTTCGATGATCTATCTACTTATCTATGTAGATGATATGCTAGTGGCGGCTAAGAACAAAGGAGCTATCTCAGAGCTAAAGGAACAGCTTAGTGTTAAGTTCGAGATGAAGGATCTCGGAGCAGCCAAGATGATACTTGGTATGGAGATCACTCGGGACAGAGCTGCAGGGAAGCTATGGTTATCGCGAGAAGGATATTTGAGTAAGGTTTTGGAGCTGTACAAGATGGAGCAAGCGAACAAAGTGGTAACACCACTCGGAGCTCATCTGAAAATATGTGCAGGAACGGAGAAACAATTACTCGAGGATGCAGAGTATATGAAATCAGTGCCTTACTCAAATGCCGTCGGAAGTATCATGTACTCAATGATTGGGACAAGACCAGACTTGTCATATCCCGTGGGAGTCATCAGCAGGTTCATGAGCAGTCCCATCAAAGAACATTGGTTGGGAGTAAAATGGGTGCTGAGATACATCAAAGGTACGATGGGAACAAAGCTATGCTACAGCAGAGGTTCTGAGTTCATTCTCAAGGGTTATTGCGATTCAGACTTTGCAGCTGATGTGGATAGAAGAAGGTCAGTGAGTGGAATGGTTTTCACCCTAGGAGGAAACACAATCAGTTGGAGGTCTGCGTTACAAAAGGTGGTTGCTTTGTCAACTACAGAAGCCGAATATATGTCTCTAAATGAAGCTGTCAAGGAGGCTATATGGCTGAAGGGTCTGTTGAGAGATTTTGGTTATGAGCAGAAGAGTGTAGAGATTTTCTGCGACTCTCAGAGTGCTATAGCTCTCTCAAAGAATAATGTGCACCATGAAAGGACCAAGCACATTGATGTGAAGTATCACAAGATTCGCGACACCATTGCAGATGGGATCGTGGAAGTGCTGAAGATATCTACTCTGACCAATCCAGCGGATATCTTCACAAAGATTTTGCCCGTAAGTAAGTTTCAAGCTGCGCTGAACTTACTGCATGTGAAACCTGAGTAATCAGCTCAGGGAATCCGGGACTGGAATCCACTGCATCAATGCCTCGTTTATCTCTCTTCTCAGGTAAATTCGTCTATATGTGTTCAGTATTTGATCATTTCATTGCTAGGTGGAGATTTGTTGTCTTTAGCAAGTGAAGATCAAATGGGAAAAATTATGTTCACATTGAGGACGTGGAGAAGTGTTTGCCAGCGTGGAGCATCGCCACGTTAACAAGTCTTGCAGGACCACAAAGAGGATGGAGCCGTTGCTGCAGCTGCTACATTTAAGGGTAAAGCAAAAACAGTTCTTGTCCTATTCAAAACTAAGAGTGAAGGACAAGTTGATTGGTGTTGCTACACGCCAAAGGAAGGCTCTTTTGTGGAGGCTGCAAAGAAGACTAGGTTAAGGTGATGTCTCCGTATATATATGCTTTTGGCATTGGCGTTTAAGATAGACGAGTGAGAGAGACACAATATTAAGCCATTCATTCATTTTGTATAAACTTTTGAGTGAGTGTTCTTGAGTGGGGATACAAAGAAGTAGAGAGAAAACATAGAGTGAGTTTTGTAAGGGGCTTGTGGGTTTTCAGATCTCTTGTAACTTTTGGTATCTAGTGGATTCCGGAGAAAGTCCCGGCGAGACGTAGCGACCCTTGTTAACGGGCGTGAACTCGTAAAACTCTGTGTGTGCTCTGTATTTTCTCTGTTTCGCTCTCTCTTCTTTCCTTCAAACTTCATTCACAGATCTTCTCTTGGTGTGTTAGCGGATAAAGCTCGCTAAAGGAAACCTCTTGAGCTGATATTTGGATAACAACATTAGACATTAAAAAAATAGAGATCAGAAATAATATATACACTTATATTCTTCTTTCTTGTAACAGTTTAGCATAGTTTTTTTTGTCAGGCTTACAGAGATTTGAGGATTATCTATATTTAGCAAAACTTTTGTAACGAATCTAATAATTAAATAGATCTACATTGTATAGATAGATAGTGTTTGGGTTGGATTTTGGGTTTTTTGTATGGCCTTAATTGCCGGTGAGAGTAGTTGGTAAGAATATGATAGGAATTTCATCCACTAAAAAGATTAGAAGGTTTTCAAAGAGCTTCCTCTTTTTTGCAAGATTTACGGTAATCCAGCATTAGAAAGATGATTATGCACATGTGACTGTTAAGTTAGATGAGCTCATATCTAATTGGCAATTAATAAACTTAGGCCTGGGCATAAAAACCGGACCTGAAATATCCACCCGAACCCGATCCGAATTTTATGGTACCGAACGGAACCGAAATGATGTAAATATCTGAATGAAGTTTTTATCTCTACATCCGAAGAATCGGTACCGTACCCGAACCGAACCGAAAATCAAACGGATACCCAAAATATTAGAGATATAATGATATATATATAAAAATATTAGTTATATTTAGATATAACATAACCAAATTTCTCAAAATTATAATTATGAATCGAGTATATTCTTTATATTTAGATTAAAATAATTAAAATATCCAAATTATTTAAGTTATATATATCAAAATTCAATATTTTTACCAAAACTTAACCAAATATATCAATATATTTTTTAAATCTAATTTTATTTAAAAAGTTTTAAATAAATTTCAGAGAATTTGGATACCCGAAACCGATCCGAACCCGAGAAGAACCGAACCGAATCCGACCAAAAATTTTAAAATACCCGAATGGGGCTCATTACTTAAAACCAAAGTAACCAATACCCGAAAAAACCCGATCCAAACCCGAATGGGTACCCGATCATATTTTTATATATATAAATTTTTTTTCTAACTTGTGATGTGAGATATTATTCTTTAATATGTTTATTTGAAATAATAATTTTTTTAATATTAATCTCGATATATCTAGACAAGGATTAAAAGACCAATATTAGTTTGGATCGATTACAAATATAAGAAGAAGAATACATACATTAAAACACAAATACAAGGAGCAAAATATGAAACATATATGAAGCAAGCTCGCTGGAACCATTAAATGAGACTATCTAAGGTTGAAAGAACTTGAACCAGGTGTGATAAAGGATTCTCCATCAAAATCAGTTGAAGAAAGTTGATAGTTCAGTCAAGCATTGCGATCTAAGCCAAACAGTTTTGCGCGCATAATGACTTGAATTTCCTTTACAATCATTTGAAGAGGCTTTGAAATTGAAGTATACAATCTGGAACTTCTCTCTTTCCATACACTATAAACTGCAGCTTAAAAATAGGTTACAAATCGCCTTGACCTTCTGGTTTGTTGAAGTCAGTTGGACGCAACTAACCACATTCTCAAAAGAAAAAGACGGAGAGAGAGAGAGTTCTATGACTGAAGAAAGAATTCCATACCTCGAATGAGAAAGAACATCTTAAAATATACAATTGCGAATTTTCAGATTCGTTCCATACAAAAGACATTCACTTGGAACATTCAAACTTAAACTTCGAAGCTTGTCTCTTGTTGTCAATGGATTTCGGACGGTAATCCACATAATGAAAGCATATTTTGGAATTCTGATCTTGAACTACACTGTTTTAGCCCACGGCAGAGATGGTGAATGGGAATGTAAAGAAATCCAAGTCTTGGATGAAGAGAAAATACCAGGAGGTGAGTCGATTGTGCAGCTCCAAAAGAAAGTTTTTTTAGCAAATTGCAGGTCACGTCTAGAACGCTATTAGATAAACATGCATGTAGCAAATTAAGAATTGGATGTATCCTTCTAGGAAGGACCCAAGTACCTTTTGAAATAGTTTGGGATGTAATGGATATAAATCGAATGCTAGAAACTCTCGGTCCATTCACACCCATAACATCAATTAATGGTCCGAGAGCAGTCCAATTATCATGGCAGAATATAGCTGAGTTTCAAGTCTAAACTTAACAAATGAGATATGGATAAGCTAATTTATAGAGCTTTATCAAACTTCTCCAAATCTAAGTCTGTTGGCCACAACAGCCTGCTATGAGTGATATTCTTCTGCACCCACACAACACATAAAGAGCCAGAAAGAGCCATTTGCTGCGTAGAAGAGCCAAATTAACTTCAGCCCATACACATGATTTGAACCTGTAAGTCTTCTCGGACCCAAACCCCTTGATGCTTTAGGAGAACAAACCGAATCCCAAGCCACCTTTGTGTTTCTTGCATAACTTGGAGCCCCACTCTAGAGAAAGGCATTACAAATCTTCTCAAAGGTGTCAATACAACTCTTCAGGAAAGGAACAGCCTAAAAGTTTTACATGTTGAAAAGAACGGACTGGATAAGCCAGGTGTGATTTAATACAATCCTCTCTCACTGCTTTGATCCAAAAGCTTCAATAGAGTATCTATTGCCATTACAAAGAGATATGATAAGATAAAGTCTCCTTGTCTGAGCCTTTTCTTCCATGGAAAAAACCCAACCAACTCCCTGTTTAAAACAACTGAATAATGAGGAGTAGTAATGCACTGGCGAATCCAAGAAATGAAGAATTCTGGAATTTCAAAGGCTTCCAGAATATTAAGAACGAAATTCCAGTCGACATTATCATAAGCTTTTGTTATATTGATTTGGGGGAAACCCATTTTTACTGGACATGACTTATTGAAATTCGACACAAGCTCAGAAGGTAATGAGACATTTTCACAGAAAATTCTTCCTTTTACGAACCCAATATGATTCCTTTGTACATTACACATAGTGATAAGCTTTATATGAGCTCCAATAATCTGGAAAGTGACAATGTGTACCGTATTACAAGAAATGGATCTGAAATCTGCCAGCTTTGCTGTGCATGTGACTTTGAGAATTAAAGAGACCACCGTCGAATTTACATGGGGAAACATTTATGGGATAATGAAAAATTCTTCATCGCTTTGATCAAGTTGCCTCCCACCAACTCCAAAGATGAGGTGGAGAACTCGACAGTAAAACCGTCTAGACCAGGCGCTTTCTTTTGTGGAAGAGCAAGCAAAAAAAATTGATCTTAATTCATCATCTGATGGAATAGAAGTAAGCTGAACTACAATAGTCTCGCTGCACCAAAACGGAGGAATATCTCCAATTTTCTCCATATAAAAGGAAGGAAATAGGGGGGGGGGGGGGGGGGGGGGGGGGGGGGGGGGGGAGGGGATTTGCAGTGCCTAACAGTTCCAAATAGAAGGTAGAGACCATTTTGTTAAGTAACATATGATCAAAGACCTTGTTATCTGCCGCATCTCGAAGAAAGTAAATAACATTTTTTGAAAGGTTTGCCCGAACTGATTTGTGGTAGAAGACTATGTTAGAATCACCCTCATTTAACCACCAGATTTTGGATTTCTGCAAGAAGGAGGACTCCTCTGCAGCTGCTAGAAATAAACATATCGCTCTTGCAGTAGCTTCCTATGCGAATAAATCCTGGTTTGGGCTCGTTAAATCTCTCTTTTGAACTTCTTCCAACTTCTCCAAAGCCTCCTTAGAACATCTACAACCCTACTTCATTTCCTACTCCAAATACTATTTTGGAGTAAATATTTCTCCAACCATACTCTATTTTCTACTAGAGTAATGAAACAAAACTTTTGGGGTCTAAACTCAAATGTTCTGATGTACTAATCAATTGTAGAATAGAGATCAGGTATCATTCCAATTGTGGGAGATGAGATGCCAACAATGCTGTAAGCTAAGCAAGATTTGGGGTTTGATTATGTGAGAACAAGACTAGCAACCTAATGATGCAATAAAAGGAAAGCATAAACTAAATGAAAGTGAACAAAGCTGAACAATAAACTTAAAGCAATGACTAAGACAAGTACTTAAGCAAGAAATGACTACTAAAGCAAGAACTAAGCAAGATGGCTTTGAAAATAATTGATTAAAAGCAAGACTCAAGGTTCTAAGCAATTATGGGACAATGGTTTTCAAGAGTGACAAGGGGATTTCTTTCTAAAGCACTCAACAAGCAAGAAATTATCAATGTTATGCTCCTAGACAAGGTATCTAATGGGAACCACTTGGCGTCAATAAGCAATTCATATTCAATAAGATTAAAGTGTCAGACCCACTTGTGATGGCATATCCTTCAACCATGAGCATAAAGAATAGAACCATTATAGCCTAAGAGATGCACCAATCAAGCAACTACTCTCTCACCCAAGAATTCAGATCAACTTATCAATCTTGTGAACCAATAAGGACCTAAGCATCTATACACCAATCAAGATTATGAATTTAAGCTCAGACTTGCAACATCCTAACAGAGCTAAGCAATGAACAAGAATGAAGCAAAGACAAGATCTTTCAATGCATACTGTCTAACCATTAAGTCAAGAATCTCAAAACCAGCATTATCAAGCCCTAAGCGAATCATCTAGCAAGGTGAACTATCACTTTGGTGTCACTGAACAAAGGAAACATAGACCAAGCTAGACTATCAAGCCAAATAAGCGAATTGTACTTAGAGAAGAGATATCAAGACATCAAGTGAACCATATGCATCTATCAAACTATATTCAATCAAAAGTAGCAAGCTTTATCAATATTAATCACTTTGCAAGAGAAGGAGATAACAGAGAACCATTAAAAAGGCCTAATCACCCCTTAATCACATCTTAATCACTACTTTCCCTACTTAGAACCCTAAATCTAAAGAAGACTACTCACTAATCATGTTTAATCCCATTGATTTAGAGTTAAACATAACTAGATGAGTTTAAAAAGCAAAAGATGATAAATCTAAGCTACCAAGATGCAAGAACAAAGGATTAAAGACAAGATTAAACCATAAAAATGCAAACTTTATTAAAGATCAAGATCCTTAAGGCAAAATCGCCATTCAAGGTTTAGAGAGAGTTTTTGAGATTAGATAGAATAAAGCTTGATAAGGATAATTTTTTGTGGCTTCCCTTTTATAGCAGGGAGCCAAAAGAAGCATAAAAAACCTAAAAAGATAAGATAAGGTTAGCGGATGAGTTGCATCGAGGTTGTACGGTCGATGTTCTGCTCGATATGCGACCTCGATATGGCCCGTGCAGTGTGTATCGACATCCATCCTCGATGCTGGTCCTCGATGCTGGTCCTCGATGCAGACCAACGGCTTGAACTCCTCGTGCTGATCCTTCTCCTCCCGTCCTGCTGCTTGCATCGAGCACACTCCATGGGTGTTCTGCTCGATATGCTTGCTTGATATGGACCAGACTTTGCAAGAACTCCACTTTTGACATCTTCTTTGATCATGAGCTGCTTCCATCTCTTCCCCAGCTCCAAGAAACTCCAAAAACACCTGAAAACCACCACAAACATGCACATGTATGCAAATGCCTAAGCTAAATGCATGCTATGTTGATTCTAAGTGCAAATGATACTAAAGTGCTAAAATATAACGCAAAAACCGAAGAAAAGATGTATGAAATACACCCTAAAATGATCTAAAATAGCAAGCTATCAACACCCCCACACTTAGCTTTTGCTTGCCCTAAAGCAAACAAACACTTAACATGGTGATGAGGTTTTAAATGGGAACTCATATCTTTGAAAGTGCTGACAATAAATCAAAATGAAGTCCATGTTGCTAATTCTAGAGTGCACTTGATGGAAGAATACTTTAAAAACTTAGCCACTTTCATCACAAAGCAAGAATAAGGATCATCACTAAGCTTTGCAACCTTCACATGCTCATCAAATCAAACAACATTTTTAACATTTAATTATGCTCAAACCGTGAATCATGCTTATGCAAATGTGAAATTGTCACTTGGCTAAGGGACAAGACTTAGTGGAATAAAAATGATCCCACTTCACAAACTAGTTTTGGTGTTTAAAGGGTTCTCTCAAGGAAAAGCATGGTTGTGCTTTGGCAAAATGCTAAGGGTCAAAGAACAACTTACACATACAACGGAAGACTTCCATCTATAAGATGTTTTCGTAACTCTAGCAATGAAATACCCACCTATGCTACCCTTTTTAAGAACTTAAACCCTTTTTAAAACCCAAAAACTCTTCTTCTTCAAGCACTTTGGAGGACACTTCCTCTTTTGAACTCCAAGTGGTGGCGATTTGCTTCTTTTGAGTTTGACTCCTTTATTTGGTGATGCCGGTGCTTGATTCGCCTTTGGCTTTTTAATTTACTGGTTTCGCACTTCTTGCATCTTCTTTTCTTCTTTGAACATGAGCCTTCTTTCTTTGAGTTTAAAATCGCCATTTCTACCATTTTGCTTGTGTCACACTCCTTTTTTTTTGCCTTGATTTCTTTTCTTCTTTGCCTCTCTTAAAAACTAAACCCAAGATAACCCCAAACAATTCTCCAAACATCCTAACCTATCTAACTCAAGAGTGAGCTAGTTCTACAATGGAAGTACTTCTCTTGTAGTTCCAACCCAACACTTTTTGCTAAGCAACAACCATGATGAAAGAGGCCTCACAAATCACACACCATTAATGTCTTGGCTTGAAAGAAGTTTTAGTTAAGGGTGGAGAAATCTAAATGGATCTTTTAGAGAGTAGCAAAAGAGAATAAGAAGATTCAAATATTTTAAACAATCCATGACATCAATCACAAAAGCATAAGGCATGATAATTGCGAATTCAAATTAGGTTCCACTTACACAAAGGTTGAAATCATTTCAAAGCATGCTTAAGTTTTAAACAAAGCTCACACAAATGCAAATTCCAAAAGTGGTTCAGCTTTATTTCTAGTTCAACATCAAATGCACCAAAGGATTAAAAACAAAGGCTCCATTTTCATAAATCACTAGCATTAACAAAGATGTACTATCATAGTTCCAAATTTAAACAAGCAACCTAGTCCTATATGAATGCATGAAGTCTAAATCCTATAAGAATGCATGAAAATCAAACTCTTTTTGTGAAGCAAATTTTGAAAAAATTTCAATTTTGTA